CCCCAAAACCCCAAAACCCCAAAACCCCTATTTTATTAAGATTATTGAAAAGTTTCTTAAAATGAGTATAAATAGGAAAGATCAGCAAAGATGCACAACCCTTTCTTTGCAGTGGTGTTATGATCTAAAATTTAGAGGGACCCTGATTGAAAAGAAATAGAGAGAATAAACTCTGTATGAATTAGTTGGGGATCAGACAAGAATTCCAACCTGGATGTATAATTCTACTAACCTCTTGATGCCTAAAAATTAAACCATGCTGATAAGCGGGAATCAAAAGATTTACAAAGCTCCTTAACAGTTGAAGTTCTGATGATACTATTATCAAGAAATATTCCGAAGAAGATCTCAGCTCTGCAAGCAATCACAGAGTTATTAGGAGTAATATAAACTTTACCTATTTTCTTCCATAAAGGTGTCACTTTCCTACAAAAAGTTTAAAATACGTTTCTATATCACGAGATGAGAGTATAATAATGCTATAAAATTCTTAATGTGTGTATTGTAGGTATTAAGAAATCAAAAAAGTAGCCATACCTTACCTTTTACTTAATATTTGAATTATTGCCTGAAGTATCCTCCGAGGTACTAAAATCATTGAAATAGATACTCCAAGAGTTAACTACTGATTTCATTACTGAAAGCTATTGGTATCAACTCATAGTGAGTACTACAGCACTATAATACTGGTTCCAGGTCCCAGCTTTGAGCTTGCAAGAGCTTAATTTAGAGTCCTCAAGAAGATCTAAACCACTAATCATAAGACACCAATTCTTAATAAGAAATATGCTACTAAAGAGAGCATGGACTTGGAGTAGCTTTTGCTGTATAATCCTCTCGAGATGTCTCAAATTTTGATATCAAGAAGAAAAATCTTTGCTGCGAATTTTGACACCTTCGAGATCCCTGATAAAAGAAGTGAAGAGGTGGCAAAACTCCTAATTTTAAGATGTCATCATAATAGATCACCACCGACAGTAGCCAGGTAAGATTACAAATTCATAATTATAAAAGAGGAGGAGGACCTTATTGACTCCATCGAGGTCCAAGATTTCCCCAGTTTCCTCAAAGAAAAGTCCAGTTGCAGAGGAAAAGATTCAACACTGCAGAGAACTTCTATAATCCATCACTAAAAAACTACATAAAATATACTCTCATTGCTATCAAATAAGAGCTCCAATCTGTATAAGAGAAGATTCTTCACGGAAGAAGAATTCAAGAAAATGATGCGTATAGCATATCAATCAAAGACTCCAAAAGAAAGAAGGTCAAAGGAAACTTGCCCAGCAATACCGTTAAGACAGAATTCACCGAGCTCCTCAAATATAAAAGGCATAATAATCTCTCATATACTTATTCCAGAGTGGACAGGAGAGATTGAAAGAAATAACTTGAAAGCATTAAGCTCAAAAGTAAATAAATGGCTAAAACTAAGCATCATTAGTATTTAGTCAAGGAATGCCAGTGTTAATAAGCTTTTGAGTTTCCAAACCCAGAAATTGACTCTGCCTGAAGCTGATTAAGATATACAATATCTGTAAGATGAACCTTCAATCTGAATTTGAGATTATGGGGTTTTGGGGTTTTGGGGTTTTGGGGTTTTGGGG